TGTGTCTTTAGTTTCTTTTCTTCGGGGAAAACTGGTTCCGTGACGTGGACTTTTGAAGAGATAGGCCGGTTGTCTCGCGAGTGCCTGGTGTCCGGATTGTGTGGTTTGGCTTGTCCCTCTGTTCCCCGCTCCCCGTGTGCTGTGGCCTGGTGCTGAGAGGTTCGGCTGGAGTCAGGCGACACGTTTGCGTGAAGGCGACGCTCGCTACCTCCTGCCACACCATTCTGGGGGTTGTCCTGCCGGCCCTGATGCCGCCTTCCCCCTGTTCTTTATTTTATCTGTGTCCCCTCACCTGGGTGTCCCGAGATGAGAGGACAGACGCTGAACCCTCCCCCTTTGTCCCCACTCGTGGGGTCAGCGGTGCTCCTGGCATGTAGTTTCACGGAGGTCGATGCTTCTGGTTTCCTTTTTCTTCCTTGAATGTCAGGGGGGAGTAATGGATTTTTATTCATTCCTTGTGTCAGGGTCTGTTCAGGTCTTCTGTGTGTGTTGGGATGTTCACACGGTTGCAGCTGGGAGCTGCCGTCCTGCCGCGTGGCTCCTGTCCTCCCGCGGCGGCGGCTTCTCTGGCCCCTTGGCCTCCCTCCCCGACCTGCCGTCTGCGGGCTGCTGCCGTGCCCGGTCGGTGCCCTGCAGAGAAGTGTCGCCGTGGGCTCTGTGCTGCTTACTATGGCAGCTGTAGGTGCCCAGCCGAGGGACAGAGCTAGGAAACATTGTTTTAAAACATGGTGAGTGCGTATGATATTTTCAATACGAGTTTGAAATTACATGGTTTTACTGAATTTCTTTGGTCTTTAGAAGTTATCTTTATTCTGAAACTCTTGATTCTTCACGTCGTTGGCATAATTGCGTATTTCATGCTCAAGAACACATGAAATGGGGTGTAATGTTGCCATATTGTGTTACAACTACTCACGGGACTCCTTAGCAGAGTTGAAGGGATTCTGGTGTTTGTCTGTCTGTTTTTAAGACTTTATTTTTAAGCAATCTCTACACCCACTGTGGGGCTCGAACTCACGACCCCGAGATCGGGAGTTGCAGGCTCCGTCGACGGAGCCCGCCAGGTGATCTAAGGATCTTTCGTTTTTAAGATCCTTTTGTTCTCAACACACGTCTTGTTGAGTAAGTGTTGTGTTTAAGAACAAGCCCTTCGATGCATGTTTTGTCTGTGGTCGTGTTGCCCGTTTGCTACACCGTTAGGGGTTTTGTTTCAGATTTTCAGTTTTTAAATTTTATTTTTATGTTCAAAATCGTTCCATGGCCCAGAAGTCAGAGTCCTAGGAAGGAGGAGATCAGAGATTTCACGTCGCTGTGTAGACAGCAGCGTTTCGTTTCCGGTTTTCCGGCAGAAACCTGGGTCTCCTGTCCGGTCTGTCGTACAAGGTAGCGAGTACCATTTGCATGGTGCATGGGTCGCTTCTCGATCCCCACACCTGTGACAGCGACAGCCCCTCCTGACGGTGTGCACGGTTTCCCAGCCCCGACCGGGGCTCTGGTGGCGGTGGGACGCCTGCTGTTTCGCACCGGAGGAGCGCGGTCCTGGGGCTCCGGTCGTAGCGGTGGGATTGCGGGGGCCGGGGATGTGACGGTGGGAGGTTTCTCCGGGGCCCCGCTGCTCCCCGCCACGTGTGTTGTCCCCGGCGGGGTGTTTCCCAGCTCTGGGTCTTCGCCAGTCTGACCCGGCGGGATCTAATTCTTGGGGTAGTGCTTCTTTAACATGCATCAATTTGGGGGTGAAAAGTGGAAAAATACACTTTACTAAATCGTTTACTAATCGTTTACCGTGCTCGGTAGCCGGAGTGTTTGAGGTCATGAAGGCGAGGCTGGGTCAGCACCAGCACGTCACCGGGGGTGAGCCGCGCCGGCGGTGGGAGGTGGTTTCCTTCGTTCTTCCGATAAGAAAATAACAGGAGATTGTCCAGGTCGGGACGTTTCCATCCATTTTACTTTCTCTAGCCTGGGGGAAGGAACCTCTGATCGGCTGCCTTTTACTTTTTGGTATTTCTGTGTTTAAAATAAATTCAAGAGACTTTGTCTTGGGTGCTTTCTGTCTGTCTGTCCCCCGCTCCCTCCCGTCTCCCATCTCTCGGCATGACTTGGGGTTGGCGCGCCCACGGTCAGAATGACGTTACTTCCTTCGTCGCCCCGGTGTCCGGGTAGCCCTCGGGCGGCGGAGAGCTGGGGCCGCCTGCTGTCCTGGGGGACCCAGGTTGCGTGTGGCAGGGACGACCTTGTTCTGGAGGATTCTGTGTTACGCGTTGTCGTTGATTACCCTATTTCTGTTTGCCGGAGAGTGGAGTCAGCGGAATCTAGAGTTCCAGATGCCATCCAGATAAATCCCTCCCGAGTTTTGGGGTAGGTGGCAAAAAACGTGTTCTCCTTTACACATATGTGAAATGATCAAAACTGCCACAGGAGCACAATCCTTTTGTGGTTTAAAAACCAAAGATAACGTGGTTCTTTTTCCCTCTAACTTGTGCCGAAACAGTAGGAAAACATGATTTTCTTTAGCAGTAAACTGCTGGGTCAAACGACAGTAATCTCCCTACATTAGCAGTTCGCTGCTATTTATAATCATGAAATAATATGAGCAAAATTAGTCCAGCGGTAGAGACACAATAGACGAGAAAGTGAGAGTCTGTCACGACTTTTGCAGTCGAGTTTTCTGTGCGCCTCCGGACACGTGTGAGGGGGTGCCGGCTCACACCCAGGGCCGCCGTGGGGGGCACGACCCCCTGCTCAGGTGGGACACGTGCCTCGTGGGGGCACTGACGTGCAGCTGCTGAGGAATGCCTAGATGATTTCTAGCTGTTAACTCTATTTTTTTTAAAAGATTGTATTGATTTGTTTGCTTTAGAGAGAGAGTACGCACATGAGCGGGGTGAGGGGCAGAGGGAGAGGGACAAGCAGACGGCCCGCCCAGCGTGGAGTCCGGCGTGGGGCTTGGTCCCGTGACCCTGAGATCATGACCTGAGCCGGAATCCAGGGTGGGCCACCTGGGCCACCTGACCCACTGAGCCACCCAGGCGCCCCGACCTCTTCTATGAAGCGTTACATGCCTGCAGAGAAGTGCTCGTGTCCGTGAATCCCGTGACCAGTCCAGAGATGGAAAGTTGTCCCTGTGCCCCCATCCCCCCAACCCTAAAGCTAATAATTTTCACAGCTTGTGCCTCTGTCCTCCGTATCCGGGGTCCTGCAGCCTGTGTTTTTGGTGCCCCCTCTCACCCATGTCTGCTGGGTGTGACAGCAGTGGCTTCATCACGGATCTGTCGCGGCCTGTGTCAGCCGTCGGCAGCCAGCTCTGGGCCGGTACGGGTACTGCCGTGAGTGCCTTTGAACTTGTCCTTTGCTGCGTGACCCTGTGAGTGGTGGGGACGATACCAGTTTTACCAGGTGCTAGCAAGCCTGTTCCGGTGTGCTGGCCGTACTTGTCTGTCGCAAGCGTCCCCAGCACTTGGCATTATCAGAGAGTGTGTGTGTGGGTGTGTGGCCATTGCCCAAGTTGTACATCCTTGTGGCTTTAATTCGTATTTCCTTCATTTCTAAGTTTCTTAATTTTAGTGTGGCCTGATTGCCCGTCTTCCCTCAACAGTTCTGTTTTGCTCTAAGTCAAGGTTAAAAGGATATTTTCCCCTATTATATTCCTCGTTGTTTTGCCTTTAGTGTGACATGTGATTTGGGGGATGGTGTGGACGCAGGGTCAAGTGTTGTTTTTCCACAGAGCAATCTACCTGTCCTGGCACCGTTCATTTAGAAGCTCCCTTCCCCGCTGCTGTGCCACTTCTCCAGCACAAGAAACGGGGTGCGTGCAAACACGGCACACCGGTCAGCTGCCAGCCTTGCCGGTCTGCGTCGGCCTCTGGGCCCCTGGAACCAATGCCTCGATGCCCCCAATGTAGTTTCATAAGGTGGTTTTTGTTTTTTAAGATTTTACTTATTTATTTGACAGAGAGAGAGAGTGCACACGTGCAGGGGGAGGGGCAGAGGGAGAAGCAGGCTCCCCTCTGAGCAGGGAGCCCGACTTGAGACTCGATCCCAGGACCACAGGATTGTAACCTGAGCCGAAGGCAGACACAAGTGACTGAGCTACCCAGGCATTCCTGTCTTTCGTGGGGTTTTTTTTCCATTTTAGTCACTTTTTTATTAATTACTTTTATTAACATATAATGTATTATTTGCCCCAGGGGCACAGTCTGTGACTCGTCGGGCTTACACAGTTCACAGCGCTCACCAGAGCCCATACCCTCCCCGATGTCCGTCACCAGCTGCCTCCACCCGCCCCAGCGCCCTCAGTTTCTTTTGTCAGATTAAGAGTCTATCATTTTGTTTTTGCTTTTGTTTTTGTTTTTTTTTAGAAATGTTTTTGATTTTAAAGTCTAGCACAGACACAGAAACTGGCTGAAGTCAGTATACAGCTTGAGGAGCTATTATAAGGTGGACATTTTTGTGACCATCTCTTGGGTCAAGAAAGAAATTTTGGCTGGCCCCAGAGTCCTCGGTTGTATCCTGTGTCTGTCCTGTGTCCCTCCCTCCGTCCTCCTGACAGAGGAGCTGCTGACCTGCTGGTGAGGGCAGCCCCTTCCCTTCCCGGTCTGAGGTTGACTTGCGCTCGGAGGAGCAGGTAAGTTTCGTGCGTCCCTGCAGAGGACGCCCAGCCCCAGCTCCCGGGGAGGTGTTCGTGGCTGGACTGGGCTTTCTCCCAGTCCGCATGTTGCCGGCGGCTGGCCTCCAGCAGAGTCCGATCTATCCTTGGTTTCCTGTAAGTCGGGCCCTGGACATAGAGGTCTGACGAGATTCAGCTTTTGGACCTCTGGCAAGACTCCCTCACAGGGACGTTGTGCTGCTCCACGCGGAGCCACCTAATGTCTGGTCTCTCTCTCTCTCTCTCTGTTTTGAAAGTAAGCTCCATGCCCAATACGGGACTTGAACCCACAACCCTGAAATAAGACCTGAGCTGAGATCGAGAGTCGGACAGCTCACGGACGGAGACACCCAGGCACCCTCAGTGTCAATCTTTTTTGACGTTGGCCAAGCCGACGGTGCGTAGACGTACGTGCGTTAATTCGTAACAGGTTGCGGAAGGGTGATGTTCTGGCTGAGTTACTGGTGCCGCGTTTATGAGCTGAGCTTCCAGTGAGGGGAACCTATTGCTGTTCGGTGATCTAGTTCTGTACTCCATGCGGGACACCCGTCAGTTTTCAGAATAACGAATCCGTCTTCTATCATCCTCCAAAAGTAGACCCACTGAGGGTTTTGCTGCGCTAGTGTGAACTCGGATCTGAGCGCACTGGACGGGATGTTCGCGTTAGCAGGGTGTCGTTAGCAGTAACCGCGTCGGGCGGTGTGTGTTGTTTGTGGTCCTTACTCGTGCGGAGATGGTCTCGTGTCTGGGCATCGGGAGCCTCTGTAAGCTCCCAGACGGTGTGGCGCGATCCTCGCTCGCTCTCACAGGCTGCTTGCACGCTGGTGTGCCCGGACGCTCCAGGCTGGCCGTCGCAGCCTTCCCGCCGCAGACCTGGGATGAGCCGTTCTGTCCGGAGGCCGTGGTCTGTGCCGGTGGGAGACGCAGTTCCAGATCCGCAGTCTGTGTGTTGGGGACACGCACTGCTCTTGGGTCCGTTGTTGTTTCTCGTCTGTGCGGTGCACAGAGCTGGTCACAGACGGTAGCAGGCTTATTTGACTGTTTCTGTCTTGCGCACCAGCTCCCTTCTCCGCCAGGAACCCGGTTCTCCAGGACGGAGAAGAGGAGACTATTGGACCGTCACCAAGTGCTCGTTTGCTGTACGTGTCGCCGCACGTGTCGCTGTCTCAGACTGACCAGCAGGAGCACTGTGCCCGTATGGTCGCTGTCTGTGTGGGACCTGCTGTCTGCCTCCCGTCCTCCATAGTCCGTGCAGAGCCCAGCATCTCTCCCAGGAGCCCTCGTCAGTCTCAGCGCTGCAAGTAAACCCACGGAGCGCTCGCACCGGTCCCTGTCCGCGTCTCTGGACCTTTGCTTGAGGTCTCTTCTCTCCTAGGGGTCTCAGGAAGGACTCAGGAGAAATACTACCCGAATATTTGCATGGTGACGATAGTTTTTATGTGTCCTTTGTACTTGAAAGTCCGCTTGACTATATGCAAAATTCTCAGTTCACAGCCTTTTCCTTCAAATACCTTAAATCTTTCTTTCTTGTCTGCCAGCACTGCCGTCAAATCAGGCTAATTCTACCTTTTCCCCGTATAAGTGACTGTTTTCTGCCTGAATGGCATTCTTTTTTGTTGTTAGGTGTGGACGTCTCGTTCACACGGCGTTCTCTACCAATATGGAGCTCCACGAGTTTTACCTCAGGAAAGATTTTTAAGTTTTTGGGATTCTGTTCCCTGGCCTGTGTCCCCTCCGTTTCTGCGGGCTGGGCAGGGGCTCAGGTTGTGTGTGTGTTGGATCTTCTTTCCCATCCTTTCAGTTTGCTTCTCTGGGGTCTTTTTTATTCCTGCATTTCTTTTTCATTAAAACAATATTCCTTTCCTCTTCTGTTTCTCTTAAGTAGAATCATTTGTGGAGTTTATTTGTTCTTACGGTGCTTCTAGTTTAGCCTTTTCTTGAAATGGTATTTTACTTTCATTTCTCAAACTTTCTTAGGACCCATAACCTCATTTCAGTATTCTTCTAGCCTGATTTAGGTTGTCCTTTTGTATCATTTTAAATATCTTTAGCTTCTTTCAAAATAAGTTCCAGTTTTCATATGGTTTAATTTTTTTTTCTAAGATTTTATTTATTTATTTGAAAGTGAGACAGAGAGACAGCGAGACAGGGAACACAAGCAGGGGGAGTGGGGGGGGGGGGCAAGCAGGCTTCCCGCTGAGCAGGGAGCCCGATGCAGGGCTCGATCCCAGGACCCTGGGATCATGACCTGAGCCAAAAGCAGACGCTTAACCACTGAGTCCCCCCGGGCGCCCCACATATGGTTTAATTTGAGGTTGTGTTTTTCTGGCGTGCGTTCGGTACCTGTTGGAGACGCTCTGCTCTTCAGTATTTTTTTCTTTCATCTTTCTGTGAGATTTGGCTTTCATTCTTTCCGTCGTCTGTTGTATTCATTTTCTGGTGCTGCTTCAACAAATTACCACAAACTGCGTGGCTGAAAACAACAAATTTGGAGGTCAGGTCTGAGATGGGTCACACTGGGCCGAAATCAGGGTGTTGTCAGCAGGCTGCCTTTCTGTCTGGAGGACGCGCGCCTCCCTCCGCCGGTGGCCCCTTCCTGAGTCTTCAAAGCCAGTCACACCACATTGCGTGGGCCTTTTTTTAAGGTTTCAGTTATTTATATGAGAGAATGTGTGCACACGCATGAGCAGCGAAGGGGCAGAGGGAGAAGCAGTGGAGCCCGACATGGGGCTCAATCCCAGGACCCTGAGATCATGACCTGAGCCCAAGTTAGATGCTTAACCGATTGTCCCCCAACATGGCCCGTCTTCTGAAGGTGTCAGTCCCCGTCTCTCTTCTGCCTCTCCACCATGAAGACCCTTTTGATCACACTGGATCCCCCGCAAATAAGCCAGGATAATCTTCCTGAATTCCACACGCAGCCTGATTAATAATCCCTCCGTGCCGTGTCACCCCGCACACTCACAGATTTGGGGGTTAGGACGTGAACTTCTGAGGGGCCTGTTATTCTGTCTGTTGGATATTTTTTTTATAAATTTTTATTTTATTTCTTTAAAGATTTTATTTATTTGTCAGAGAGAGAGAAAAAAAACAGCAGGCAGAGGGAGAAGCAGATTCCCCGCTGAGCAGAGAGCCCCATGTGGGACTCGATCCCAGGACTCCGGGATCATGACCTGAGCCGAAAGCAGATGCGTGACTGACTGAGCCACCCAGGCGCCCCTCTGTCTGTTTGACTTGTTTTTATATAATACTAATTTCTTGTTTTGGGGTTTTTTAAAGATATAAGGAGATATGACTTAAACAACTTTTTCCGACTTCATGGTGCTTCCTCCCCTGTGGTCCTCTTCTGTGGAAAACGTTAGGACCTCCTTTGTGTACCTAGTGATCTCTAGTTCTTCCTTGCTGTTTTTGTCTGGCTTTGGGATAGAGGTGATGTGGCCTCTTAGACCGAGCTGGAAAGTACCCCATCCTCTTCTGTTTTCACAGAGTTGGTGGTGTATCGGTAGTATTCTTCTGTAAGTGTTTGAAAAATTCACCAGTGAAGCCGTGTGGGCCTACGACTTCTTGCAGGAAGACTTTAAATCACTAACTCAATTTTTGTACTTGTTCTAGGTCCATTCTCTTTCCTAATTCTTCTCAAGTCACTCTTGGTAACTTACTACTTTCTAGGAATTTCTCCCTTGTACTGAGCTGTGGCCTTGTTGGTCCGAGGTTGTCCGTACCCTGCTCTCATACTCCACTTACTCTGGGAGGAATCAGTGGTGACGTCCCACATTTTCACAGACTTTGTCTTATATTCCTGGTTAATCTAGCTAAGGATTTGTCAGTTTTCTCAATCTTTTAAAAGAATTGACTTGTGGTTTTGTTGATGTTCTGTTTCACTTTTCTGTTTTTCATTTCATCCATACCCACTCTAATCTTTAGTGTGGCCTATTTTCTTGCCTTTTTTCCCAGTCTTTTTAAAGGTGAATGCTTACATTACCCCCCACTTTTTTTTTGCACACATGATATGATTTCAGGTTTTTTAAAAGTTTTGTTTAAGTCCCAGTTAGGTGATATACAGCGTAACGTGTTTTCAGGTGTACACCGAGGGTATCAGCTCTTCTGTATGATTGTAGATTTCTGGAAGTTACCGAGACTTGTTTTGTGGGCTCTGCCTGCATGTGAAGAGAGTGTGTATTCTGTGGTTTTGGGGTGGGATGTTTTGCAGAAGTGCTTGCATTAGTGATCCGAGATTCTGCTTTTCTAACACAGGTATCGAAAGCTAGAAATTTCTCTCTGAGCGCGTCAGCATCTTATAAATTTGGGTGCATTACATTACTTTCATTTAGATGAAAATACTTTTTTCTTAAGATTTTACTTATTTGGCAATCGAGAGCGAGCGAGCGAGAGAGCACGGACGGGGGAGCGGTAGAGGCAGGGGGAGAAGCAGGCTGACGCGGAGCAGGGAGCCCGACGCGGGGCTCCGTCCCAGGATCCCGGGGTCACGACCGGAGCCGAAGGCGGACGCCTCACTACTGAGCCCCCCAGGCGCCATGCAGATGGAAATACTTTCTACTTTCCATTGTAATTTCTTCCTGACGTGGATCATTTAGAAATGGACTTGTATTTCCAAATATTGATGGATTTCTCAGGTTCCCTCTGTTACTGATGCGTGGTCAGACTGCACTGTGGGTGGAGCACATGCTTGTGTGGCCGCGGCCCTTTCAGACGCAGGGACGCTTGTTGCCCGGCCTCGCGCGGTGTCCGGTGTGCAGGCGAGGGGAACATGGGCCGGCGGGTGCCGCCGCGGCTGCTGGGCCCGGCGGTGGATGACCTTCCGCGGTGCGACTGGCTTCCCGCCCACCTTCTTCAGGTTTGCGGGTTCTCCTGCCCCATCCCGAACCCTCTAGTGAGCGTTCCCCTTGTACTTCCACATTTCATGTTGTGATTTCTGCTTGGTTCTCTTTTGTAATTTTTCTGTCTATGTTGATATTTGGTGAGCTGTTATTTATTGTTTTATATGTTGTCTTTATACACAGTTTCCTTTAATTCAGTCAACACATTTCTTTTTTTTTTTTTTTTAAGATTTTATTTATTTGACAGACAGAGATCCCAAGTAGGCAGAGGCCGGCAGGGAGAGAGGAGGAAGCAGGCTCCCCGCTGAGCAGAGAGCCCAATGCGGGGCTCGATCCCAGGACCCCGGGATCATGACCCGAGCCGAAGGCAGAGGCCCAACCCACTGAGCCACCCAGGCGCCCCGGTCAACACATTTTTAATGCCTGATTTAAAGTCTTTGTGTATTAAGTGCAACGTCTGGGCCCTCTCGGACAGTTTCTTTGGCCTGTTTCCCCCTGTGTACGGGTCATGCTTTCCTGCTCTTTTGCGTGCTCTGTAATGCGCTGGTTTTGTAGAAAA